GGTCTTTTGCATTTTATCACACAGATGGATAGACTGGTCAGGATTGTTGGGCACGGTGCAAGTAGGAGGTCGTGCGACCTCGACTTCAAGAAACGGGCTGACAAGCGAGGCTCTCTCTCTCGCTCGCTCGCTTTCTTCATCTCTCTCGCTTTCTTCATCTCTCTGAACTCGGATCTCGGTAGGCACACAGGAGTGCGAACGTCCCAGCAGCACAGCCCAGCCAGGTTAATATGGGTGATCCACAGGTTCCCCTGGAGGTGATCCACGGGTCCCCCTGTACAGCAGTCCCAGTTGCAGTGAGTGTACCGAGCGACGAGCGAGTGCTGTGTCGCTCTTGCTCTGCTCCTCAGGTTTAAAGCAGAAAGAGCCACCGATCGCAAGCATGGATCAGTCAGTGGAAGACCCCGGCGAGGCGGCAGATGGACCAGAAACGGCAGAGCCAGCCCCAGCTGCGCCGGAACTGGCGGGCCCGGTGTCCGAGGAGTCGGCGGAGCTCTACTTTTTGATCGCTAACTTCCTCACCAACGCCTCCCGGTGTTCTCGCGCGGCGGCAGTACTACGGCAAGAGCTGGTACGGTTCGAGAATAGTTCTGCGCTGCTGCTGTGGAACATGGGCATGCTGGACCCATGCCCGTTTGCTTGTTGATGTGTGATTGGCGCTCGTCAGCTGTTTTGTGTGTGGAACACACACTATATGGCGGTTTTGCCCCCCCACCTCCATCCTCCGCGTTCGTTTTTCAAAAATTGTAGCATGCATTCAACACAACTCGGTGAACCGCCTACAGGTCGATACATACATACATACAACAGCCATCTTTCACAAATTACGCTTGGGCCGCCTGATATCCATCTGTCCCTCCCCCCGTTTCGACGGCTTTCGTGTGGCCGGCGGCTCCTTAATCTCGTGCGTTTGTTTGCCTCCTTCTCTGCCAGCGAGAGAAAAACCTTCTTGGTACTGCCTACAACTGGGAAGGCCACGCCCGACCCGCGAGCTTCGACGACGTCCAGCGGCGGCACCAGGCCTTGCCCGCAGACCAACTGGCTCGAGTAACCGCGCAATACCTGCGGCAGCAACAAGCGGTTGCTGCTGCGACGGATACCAGCACTAGCGGCGGCGGCGGCGGCAGCGGCGATGCTGTATTGGGGGGCAGCAGCAGCGGTACGGCGATCGTCGTACAGGAGCAACCTCCTCCGCTGACGGGGCCGGGGGTGTCGCGGTCTTTGCTGTCCAGGGTAGAGCCCTTCAGCGAAGACCGGGAGGCGAACGAGGTGTGTGCGAGCTTGTGTGTGCGTTTCAACTAGCATCGCCCCTGCGCTTGTACAGCAGTGGATAGATAGTCGCGGGGCAAATATCGTTGTTTTTGGACGTTTTCTACTCCGCGGGTCCCCCGGAGCGTTATGTTGAGGAACCTGGACGTCTCATGTACAGGCTGAGCGTGATGGAGCACGTGTGCTTTCCTGTAATTACCATCGACACCCTCACTGGTTGAATAACGAGTAGCAATCGTGGTAGAGAATTGCGTACAAACGTCGTCCCTTCATTTTTGATTAGCAAGACGCCTGACCCGATGAAAATATGCAGCCTTTGCTGTCTCGGGGGCAGATTCTCGGGTGATCTCCGCGAAACACCGGGAGCCAGTCTTTGGGTCAGCGATAGAGGGCGTGGAAGTTGCCAAATTCGCACTATACCCCTTGTGAAGGACAAAGTTGCATAGTATATGAACATATGCGCGTATGTAGTTTTTTTGTGTGCATGACCAACATTTTGCTTTTTTTGTCGCTCTTTGTAGTACCGCGCTTTCGCTACAATACTCAAGCCATGTCGACGGCGGCGGCGTTATCGCCAAGCCCGTGGTACCGAATGAATACGTTCCCATCCCACACCGTCCGCCTGTTCATTCTACGTAGAGGGAACGGCCGCGTTTGCCTACCTTTGGGGCGGGGTTATGCCTGTATCGGCTTCAAGACGGGGAAAAGAGTGTCCTGCTGCACGGCATCGTCTCTCTTGCCGTCACACATGCTTGCTTGGGTCTGTGATGCCTGATGACGCAAAACGATCTTAACCTCGCCGCTACTTCTGCTGCTTCTCTTGTAATGCTTGCTGGCATTGACCCGTCACTACACTCCTTTCTGTTGGTTGTCTTGAAATGCTTGCTGGTTGTCGGGGGGGGGGGTTTCTGCGAACATGTACACACAGAGAGCCCGCGCGCGCTGCGCCGCCCGCGTAGTCGAAGCGTGCATCGAAAGCGTGCGCGTGCGGGCCAGCGCCAGGAAGGTTTACAGCGATCTGGCGACCGTCAAGAGCAAGCTCGAGGCGCTGGAGCTCGATGCCGCAAGGGAGGCGCGCGTAATCGCGAGAGCGGCGGGCTCGGCCACGAGGGGGCGTTGCCGGGCGGCGCTGGTGCCCGGCCAGGAGAGCCAGGCGGAGCTCACGAGGTGCGATAACGAAAATTCCCCGACCCACTGGCGGGAATGTAGGGTGTATTTTTTCGGCGGGGACGACGTGACGGCTTTGATGCCAAAGGCATGCCTTGCCCAGCCAGATAAGTGAGCCCTTTTCTTATCATGGTGGCTGGATCTGTTTCGTCACGCGTTTCAAAACGAGTCTCTTTAGGTAGGCGCTACACCAACATACGCTTTTTTTTTGTTGCATGGTGCCATGATTTTTGCCGTGTGCCTGCTCACTGGTGTATATTCTCGACGGCACTGGAAGATGAAAAATCGGCCTACAGCAGTATTTCCTCGTGCTTTGCGGCCCCCCTCCGCGGTTCAGCGTTCCCGTAACCCCCTACCTTTTCATGTCATCATCTCCATCGGCGTCCCCCCCCCCCCCCCCC